AAATTTAAAGTAACTGATTTTAATTAATCTCAAGTAATCACAACGGTACACAGGACATGCAGAAATTTTCATTTTGCTAAGAAAGATTTTGCCACAAGGGAGACGGCATGAAGCGGTGCTCAAAACTATGAATTTGAGGGGAGAGGGAAGAGTGGGAATGGTGTGAATAGAGTATTAATATATAAAATCCTCAAAAACTGAACCCATGAACTTCACAAGACTTAGAAGATCTTAATTTTCTTCTCTTATTTCCAGGACTAACCAGCTGTGAAACCTTGGGCAAGTTATTTTACCTCTCTGAGCCTGATTCATTGAATAAATAAGAGAAATTTAAAATACCTAGCACAGAGTCCCTTAAATGCAAGCTGTTACTCTAATTATTCAGGTTGGAGGGCAGGAATTAGCCACTTTTAAATCTCATCAAATGCACTCAGCCAGCTACTCAGTCACATGACCACACTGTTATTGTCCTTTCCTCTCCTGAAATTATGTGTTGCTCTGTTTGGAGAGGAAATTACATCAACCTCAGCATTACTGAGACTTCAGGCTGGACATTCTGTTGGGGGTGCTGGACTGTGAGTTCTAGGATATTTCAGCAGCATCTTTGGCCTCTATGGACTAGATTCCAGGAAGTGCACCTGGCAAAAACCTCTCCTGGGCATTGTTCAATTGACCCCTAAGTTCTCTGTGGTTGAAAACCACTAGTCCAGTACAGTCCACAAGCAGAGGGATCCCCCAAGGTCTCAGGAGGTGCCCTGTAGGTGGAGATCAAAGGTTTATCAAGGTACCATTAAGTACTATTTACTCTTTGGGCTCCATCATCCATGATTATCAGAAACTCAAAGTTGACCACAGAAAAATAGCTTGGGAGGGGGGGCTTCAATTCGCCATTAGAAAACGTTTTAAATCACACAAAGGCAGGCTGGTCATCCACTTCTCCTTACTGTACACAGTAATAGAAAGGTGGGTTTAACTGGCTGTGGTTGTGCCTTAAATCTCAGCAGTTCAAAGCCAGTCTTAGTCTACACTGCCAGCTCCAGGCCAGCCAGAGGCAGGTGGATCTCTGTGAGTTGAAGCCAGCTTGATCTACACAGCGAGTTCCAGGCCAGCCAGGGCTACATGGTAAGATACCGTCTCAAGGAAAAAAAAAGGTGAATTTAAACATCAGTAAATCTGGTATGTTCCATTTAATTTACAGAAAACATTGTCACACATTGTACACATGTATCAAATCATCACACTTTACCTCACAAAAATACCAACAATATTAATTTTTTAATAAAAGAGCCAGTCATAGTGGCACATGCCTATATTCCCAAGACTCAGGAGGCAGAGGCAAGAGGATTGGGTGTTGAAGGCCAACCTGAAGCACATGAGACCTTGCCTCAAAAATAACAAAAAAACAAAATTTGTTTAAAATAGAAAAGACTACAATATCTAAGATGACGTATAAACCATTAAAATCATCTCTCAGTATCCATGGGAGACTGGTTCCAGAACTTACATGCAGATACCAAAATTCAGATGATCAAGTCCTTTACATAAAATGATGTATTTACATATAACCTTCACATATTTTCCCATATACTCTCAATCATCTCAAATTACTTATAATACCCAATACCCTATAAATGCTACATAGTTTTCTTGCCACATTGTGTAGGGACTAATGATAACAAAGGAAAGTCTATAAATGTTAATAAAGGTGCCAGTTTTTTCAAATATTTTCAATCCTTGGCTGGGTGAATCTAAGACTAATCATATTACTGGAAATGAAAAAGTATGTTCTTAGCCAGGAAGGTGAGATACAAATGATGCAGGGACTGACTGATTCCATTGTTTGTACACTTGAAGAATGTTCAGTATATACATAGGAACTATGTGAATGTTCAAAAGCCTCCAGACGTCTCTTAATTATTCACAACATATCAACTGTCTGTAATTTTCATTTCAAGAATCACACCAGAAGGGCGGGAGTCATTTCTTATCTACCAGGTATCCAGGCACCAGGCACAAGAGCCTCCATCAGAGGAGGTAACTCCGTAAATGTTTGCTGAAAAAAAAGAATGGTCATATATTCTGATTAATTAAGTACTGTGCTGAGAGAGAAAAAGAGAGAAAAAGAGAAAGAGAGACAGAGACAGAGAGAGAGAGAAAGAGAACAAGAACTTCGCTCTGTTCAACAGGAGCTGAAAGAAAAGATTTCTTAAGAGAAAATAATTTCTACAATATACTCCCTTTTATCCCAAATCCAAACAACGGGGCTAAAAAAATGCAGACAAAAGTTGAGGAAAGAGCCAAAGAGATAAGGCCTAAAGTTCAAGCAAGCAGGAACATTTGTTCAACTCCCACAAGGTTATAAAAGCCAATGTTGCTGGCACCAGAGGGGGGAAACGGGAGGGGTGAGGGGGAAGAGGAGAACCAGGAGGTAGAGATTAGGAAAATGGGGCAGCCTCAGAAGATTAACTGCCACTCCTTCAACCAACTATTTTTTTTAAATGTCCAAACTTGGGCTGGGGATGTAGCTCAGTGATAACAGCATCTGCTTGGCATGTGTGAAGTCCTAGGTTCGATCCCCACTACAGCAATAAATAAATAAGCAAATAAATAAATATCCAAACTTAAGGCATGAGTTTCTCACACAAAGGCATGATTTGCAAATTTTTTTTCCCAATAGCTATGAGCACTGTGTGAAATTCTCAAATAATCAATAAAAGTATTTTTAAAGAGAATATTTGGAACATTCTTTCAATCACACTTGTTAATTTCTGAAAGTTCTTTGTCTCCTTTTTTTCTCCTATCTCACAGTGGGAACAACAGGTTCTCCAGAAGCCAAGACTCCCTTGACTCCTTTTGTCTAAAGAGAAATGTAAGGCCCATTTCCCCCCAGCATACTGTTCTCTGTAAGACATTTTACCAGCTGCAGCATTCTATTCCTCAGAGGGAAAAAATATCAGGCTTAGATTATATTGTACAAATATGCAGTTTTTCTCACTACTGAAAAGGTGCAGAATACGTGTCACATAAATAAGAGAATGGCACACACAGTAGCATCAACAGAGGCATTTTGTCAATCTTGTAGACCTACACTCGATTTCCACTTAAATGTTTCTGGTTTTAAAATTTGCAGTAAACAAAGTCATTTTCTTATTCAAGTGATCCATTCATTCATTAGATATTAAACTAGCTCCAATCCACTATTATACAAGAGGAATTTTGCCTATTTAAATTTTAAACAATTTCTTCTCAAGTGTCACCCAAAAGTCTAGACTTGCTTTAAAAAAATCCCTTCTCTCAAAAAATTAAATATGGGAATGGAAGCCTAGAATTACAGAAGCCATGTATGGTTTCAAAATCTATATGGTACTCTTAAAATATGTACTTATTGTGTGGTGGTTTGCACAAATCATGGCCTATCTAACCAATTTCCTGTTGCATAAAGATTATATTTTCCTTTAAAAATGTTAAATAAGCATTTTTGAAGACTGAAGGTAAAGACTAGATTGAAACCTTATGTAACCAAAATAGAAAAGCATTATATTCTTACCACATTAAAGACCCATACCTTTTAAACATATATTCTTAAGCAAATATGCGCATTAATTTCCAAAGGCAAATGCACCAAACGCAGCAGTCCCCCCACCTCTTTTAGTGTAAAGAATGGGGAGGGGCCTGTTCAGGGGGATGAGCTAGGATGGGAAATCTGTACCAAATTCCACGAGACCCGTTATTTAAACTTGTGTTACTTTGCAAATTTTCACATTTCCAAGGAACATTACATTTATATTAAAACTGCCTTAATCAAGATAACAAAAATATTTCTAGTATTGTATAAGCTTGCCATACATTTGATAACATGGAGAATTACAAGCAATTACAAAATGATGACTACAATTAGGAAAACTGGGTCTATTCCAAATACAAATCAAAGGAGGCTCATATAGTCCCAATGGGATAATTTAAATGAAGAGTAACAGAGGATTTCAGAGGATTTCCAGCAAAGACACATATTTGTCCTACTCTTTCTCCTTTTCTGAAAGACAAGCAAAAACAAACAAACAAACAAATTAAAAAACCCCAATGCTACAATGATGTAATGCCTGCCCTTCAGGAAATTCAAAAGCCAAACATGGAATCCCGTTAATACACTTTTTTCTCTCCTGTTCCCAACGGGCCTCCCTAGTACAGGGTTTTTTTGGAAGTGGCAATCAGAAGGAACCTGAGACACTAGAAAGGTCCCAAATGCAGAAAATTATACAGTGCCTTAACAGGAGTCACGCTCACTGTTTCCCTCAGCCTTGCTGTTTCAAACCTCTACCTAGTTGTGAAAGACTAGGGATGGGAACTTCCAAAGCAACAACCTCTTGCAGAGCTTTGAACACCACCTACAACAAATTTCAAGGTTTTTGAGACAGAAAGGTCACACCCAGCAGTTTTGCAAACCCACCTTTTCAACCTTAGGTGCTAGAACCTTCCAGGAGCTTCTCAGGTTCCATGCTGGAGCTGAAATCCACCCCCCTCTC